CATTACCATGTCATCTGTTGCCTGTTAAAAATGTTGTCGACTAATGTTTAAAAGCCAACTATTTGGTGTATGTAAGATAGAAAGTTGTACATTTTACTGAAAAAAATTTTTTTTGGGTTAAATATCCTAAGTGAATTTTAGTGTCATTACCATTTTGGATCTTTTTATGAATGTTTTCTAATATAATACTTTTTTTTCCCAAATCATGTATTCTTTATCTTTTTATTTATATTGGGTGTATTTGTATGTTGAAATGATACGTGTGCTGTATTAGACAAATATTAGAAAGCTGCAGCTCTGCTGTACTTAGCCTGCAGAAATGGTGATCCAGGTGCTTTCTAGAGTCCGGACTCTGCAGAATGAAAGAAATCCTTTATATATTATAAGAAATCCAATATATTCAAATTGATTGCTAACTTGTGATGGGGATAGAAGCCTTGGCTATCCTATGTGTAATTTAATTAGGTTTTAAAGCAGACTGGACATGAAAAACCATGTGCCAGTATATAGCACCGTTTTATTTGACAGTCTACTGTTGCAGATACTAAAACTGGAGAGTGCAAAATATGATGCAACTCGGTAATGTCATTAATGTGCCAGTATGCATCACATACTAGCATATTATGAGAGACTTACCCTGAAACAAAGCCTTCCAGCAGTGTGCTTTCACTGCTGACAGGGTTTCCATCTTCACCTGGTCTTCCTTCTGGGTTCATGGGCTTTGTCCGTTTGAATCAGAAAAATGAGGAAGGGTTGTAACAGCGCAAACACTGCAAAGTCCTGGGAAATGGTAGTATGGGGTGATCGTGGTATTAGTGGCTACTGTATGAAGAGCGTAGGATTCCGTGTGGCACTGAGGGCAAGGCTACCAAATAAGCTGTAGCAACTTCTGTAGATGAGAAAAAAGGAGAGAAGCGCCTCTAAGTGCAATAAGTCTTTTTATTCAAGTCTAAATGTAGAAACACTCACATGTGTGATGTAATCATAAGCATAAAAACCGTGGTTAACAATAGTTAACGGTGGGGTGGTAACCCGGGTGAAGAGCCGTCATCTCTGCGATGTGGGGAGGTCAGCTCTCGGCTGGAACAGCGTGGTGGCTGGAGGGGAACAGCGGTGAGGCCGGCCGGCGTGCACGTCCTCCCTCAGAGCCGGATGGAACGCACGCTGGAATGTAGCGGCGGTGTGGCTGTGATGACGTCAGATCCCAGGGTGCACTGCGACGCGTTTTGGAGCATGCACTGGCCATGGAAGGCGGAAGTGCACTCCTTTTTCAAGCAGTTTTTCTTTGTCCGTTTGAATGGCCAACCCGCGATGACGTCACTCCTGCGCATAGGAGTCCCGGCTGCGACACAGAGCTCTGAAGTAACAGCATGGGTATGCGGTTCCTTCAGAGCACATGTGCCGGTGACGTCCCCAGCTGTAGACATTGAATATCTCCTAAACGGCATACGTTTAGGAGATATTCCTTGTACCTACAGGTAAGCTTTATTATAAGTGTCCAGTGGGAGTTTTCTACCACTTTATTGAACAAGCAGAAGTGAGAAACTGATTGGCACAACTGCACCAGATTCTGCGTGCACTGGCTTTAGTAAATCTCCCTCACAGAGTCCCAGAAAGTAAGGTTTGAGGGAAGGCCCTGCTGGTATTTTCAAGTGGAGTGTCTATTTCAAGAGCACCTATTGATTCATAGAAAAGGTTCATCTTCCCTGCCCTGGCCCATGTATGTTGCATGAGTCACAGAATTGGCTGCTTTAATCTGAGTCTCATTACATGTGTGTTTATTTTGAGACCGAGTCCCTTTTAAGTTTCCATAAGACCTTTTAGATTACAGGGAAATTGGCCCCTTTCACATGGGCATTATGTTTTTTTCATCAATTCAGTCACATTTTTCCAAAGAAAAAACATCAATTTCTACATCAGTTTTTTACATCCTTTTACCGATGCAAAAATGGACTGTATGTCCGTTTTGTATCCATTTTTTTGTGTTCTGTTTTTTTTTACAGAAGAAATATAGGGCTTTCTTCCGTTCAAAAAAAAACAGATGGTAACGATTGCGAACATTAACGGATGTAAACAGATGATCATCCACTAGTCCATAGAAATACATGGGTGTCCATTTTTCATCTGTAAACGGACGGATGAAAAACAGACATACGGAACACCCGTGTGAAAGGACCATATGTGTAGATTATTCTTGGAAGTGCTTGATTTACTATTGCTACTTTTGTTTATTTACACATTTAAAGCCCAACTCCAGTTTTGATGCTCACATCGGAAAGATGTTCATTCACTTCTTGTCCTGATGACAACAGTGATGAGAAAAGCTGCACAGTGGGGGAAACAGAGTCCAAAAAACCTCACCAATACTGTATTTGACTTCTACCAACTCTAGTAAAAAACAAAACTTAAACATAGTTTCAGAGGTTTTTGGGGTTTGTTAGAAATGTTGGCATATTTTGTAAAGATGTACTGTGCATGGGGCCTTTGGAAGCTTGTGTTTGGTACTTCTGACAAATACTATAATTTGACGCAAAACCTCGAAATGGTAATATAGTTGCTGCAAAATATGTTTACTGAAACCTGACTGATAATTGGGAAACAATCAACTGTCAAAAATGAATTTATATGGATGATCTTTTTGTTCTTAAAATGAGGATAGTAACAGGCTGACCGATCAGCACCTAGCTGAACCACTGGTGTATGGTTATTGGAAGAGCTTGAATTTGTCCAGTATTTCGGTGGCTGAAGCTCCTGACCACCATTTTTGCAGTTTCCTGAAATGTGTCCATTTGTTCAATTTTTTCAGTAACCTCCCTCCTTTTATCTTGCCCATTTTGCATCCAATCTCTGTGGTTAGTTTCTGTGTTCTATAAAATTTTACTTAATTGCTATAGGAATGTGTATATATTGTAAATCATATATTTTCTGTTTTTTTTTCTTTACATGTATAAGTTGCTAATGAGTGTTTTATAATGTGTAATAAGTGACACATCTACCCCTTTAATTGGGAATTTGGTAACTTCATGTTTTCCTGCTGCTACTTCCACCTAGCAAGCAGTCTAAAGTGGCAGTCCTCAAAGTTCTTTTTTATAGTTTCTCTACCCCTAAATCATTGCCTAAAGGTCAATGCTACAGTTTTCAGATTTCCTCATTCCCCTCACTAATTTGTCACCTTGTCAAAATCACTTTAGTCCCACCCTCTCTGCAAATGTAGAATGTCTCCTTGCCATTTTTTATTAAAGCCTAACTCCAGCCTTTTAATGGTAGTTTTGAATATACTATGGATAAAGAAATTTTTTTTTTGTCTCTGACCCTATTGGAAAGTTTTTTTTCTCATTTCCTATCCCCGTGATACTAGCACAAGACATTGGGGGGGTTGGCATTCGTTTAGGAACTCACAAACAGCAATAACGTATGTCCAACGTGTAACCCTTTCTTAGGGCTCATGTACACTGCAGCTGATAAACTTTTTTCAGCAACCCCTGAACTCACCCTAATGTTTTCCTATGTGTCCATGTACACATCTTCGTTTACAGGCAGTTGAATTTACAGTCTTTTTTTTGAACGCAGAAAACTTGCGTTCATCAGTTGATTTTATCAACGCTTCAAATGCAAAACGGTTGTAAACACGGCTAAACATGGCAAAGTGTTTTGCATCTGAAATTTTTTTTTTAACTCTTCCAGTTCCCAATGCTGTCCAGAGCCTTTTTTCATCATGAAAAATACATGCAAAGCGTTTTCAAGGTACTCAGATGGACAAAACACTGAACACAGGATGTTCCTACCAAGCTTGTCACACATTGTAATGACCAATTCACACCTCAGATCTCTCCCATCCTTGGAAACAAAGGATATGTTAATGACCATTCACACCTCAAATTCCTCCTGAAGACCCCCTGCCAGGTGGCCTTAATGACTCACTCCAGCAGACACCTTTCCCACCCTTGGAAACAAAAGAAATGTTAACGAGCAACTCACACCTAGCTAATTTCAACACCCACTGCTGTCTCTTCTTCTACTCTCTGTATTTCTCTGAAACAGTCCGAAATAGTAAATAATTTACCACTTTTCAGTGCATTCTGGGCATTTGGGAGGTGCTCCTGTGCTTATCTTTAAAAAACCGCTTCTAATCGCAAACGCATTATGCAAACGCGTCTAAACAGATGTTTTTTAACCTACGTTTTTCAGCAGTTGGTTTCCATCATTCAGAAGTGTCCCGTGTACATGGGGCCTTATGCTGCTCTAAAGCTGGTTGTTTTTTTTCTTCTCTGACCCCTTAGAGTGATTTCCCATCACTACCTGGTCATTACTACCTGTCTTTAAGGAAAGTTAGAAGTTTACTCAATAGAGACAGAAACGGTAATAAAAACCTAGCAGGGCCTCTAGCCCCTCATTGCTTTTTTCCTCAAAATGAAACAAAAAAGTTTTTGCTGGAGTCACTCTAGCCTGAATGAAGGCTTTGGAAAAATGGTATCCTTACTGCTAGGAATGCCTAACACCCACGGTGTTGATCAAGAACTGCCTGATATTAGATGTGGTATCCTGAATGCTAGTGATAGATCAGCACAGTGCAAAAGTCTTTTTTCTTCTGGTGTTAACGATAACTTTGTTTGCGTTGGCTTAGTTCTGGGAGATTCAGGAGGAGAGTAGCAGAAAGAGAGTACAGAAGAGAGTAGGAAGATGGCTAGGGGAACCACCTGTTCCATGCCTGCGGACCACAGTTTGGGAAACATTGGTCTAAGACAACCACAATTTCAAGATCTAAATAGGTTTACAGCAGAGTAATCGGTGCACATTTTGAGTGTAGAAAGAAACTCAACACAAACACACAAAACGAACTGTACAAACTCCATGCAGATCGTGTCATAAGAGAATCGGTGAAAGTAAAATTCTATGTGTGTAGTACACTGTTGACAAAGTTTTAGCTTTATCATAGATCTATTAGGCTTACAAGTACTTTCCTTGAACTGTTTGATGATTTACATCCACAGGCCTAAAAAATGTCAGACGACGAAGGTGCCCCAGTGGTGAAGAAGTCCCGTATCTTCTATGGCAGTTTGGCAGAAAAGGAGAAGGAGCGTCTTAACAAGGGAGAATTTTCAGTGGGAAAGACAGCAGTGAAAGCTGGGATCGATGCTGGGAACATTAACGTCGGGTCTGGTGAGGAGATGGATCTCTTGAATAGTTCTTTGACAGTAAATGATGCACTGCACACAGTCACTAATCCTGAGAATTATAATGCACTGAGGGTTTCCAACAGACAAAAAAAAAACAATGTTTTAAAACCTCAATCCACTTGATGCTGGTATTTGTTGGTTACGAACAGGAGCTTGTGAGTTGACTAAGCCATTGACTTTCTGCTTATTTTGGGGACATGCCACCTGCAGCCAAGGTAGTTTATTAAAGTGATTGTAAAGCTTTAGTTTTTTTGGGTTTTTTTAAAATTAAAATAACAAGCATGTCATACTCAGCTGCTCTGTGCAATGGTTTTGCACAGAGCACCCCTGATCCTCCTCTTCTTGGGTCCTCCGCCAGCGTTCCTGGTCCCTCCTCTTCAATGAGTGCCCCCATAGAAAGCTGCTTCTTATGGGGGCACTCGTGGGCCCACTTCCAAGCCCCGCTGCCTGCGTTTATAGACACAGTGGGGCTTGGCCCTGCCCCACGCCTTGTCATGGAATTTGATTGACAGCAGCAGGAGCCAATGGCTTCCTTCAACTACCAAACTGCCCTGTGTGGAGAGTGAGATCTGAGAGAGCCGCTGCACTTGTGCAAAGCGCTGGATTGAGATCAGGCTCAGGTAAGTATAAGGAGGGGCTGGGGGGGTTCTAGCCAAAGAAGGTTTTTTTGCCTAAATGCAGAGAATTAAGGTAAAAACCTTTAGGCTTTAGAACCTCTTTGACTACCATTAAAATCGTGATACCTTGGGGGTATGAGCTTTAATCCTGTGTACTCTTAGTAAGACTACCCTAATGGCCAATGGACATGCAAGAAAGCACAAATCATATGTCTGTTTTGCAGTGGCTTTCTAACAGCTGGATGGATTCACTTCCAAATGATCATACCAGTTTAGACATTCGTTGGATAACTGCCAACAAATGCATATGGGGTTGAGGATTGAAGACACAATTACTGAGTGTACTAGACTGGACAGAGTGAATGCTTTGTTTCTCTGTGTCTGTTGGCAATGGCCTTAACTGGGGGCCCAGATGCAGGGATTATGCCACCAGAGTTTCCCAGAGATGCATGAAGTTGGCTGATCTTTTATTCCACTGACATCTCTCATATTAATACTGAGTGGACTAATGTTTACATGTGTCTATCTGACAATGACGTTCACTGCAATGCCAAGAATAATTATAGACTGGTAAAGATGGAAAATGGCTTTTGCAGAAACCAAACTTCATTTTTTTTACTCCTCTTTTTCTGCATATTTTGCTGGAGTGCACTGCAGGGGTGTAGGTGAAGGGAGCAGCTCAAAATAAACAGGCTGCATGTCATTTGTAGCCAGGATAGCTCACTGTTGATCTTTGCATGGATTACCTCTTTTCTTAAACTGCCATATGCTTATTTTTGCTTCGCTGCTTATTTAGTTCTAGCGCTAAATCACCTCAAATCTGAACCGCAGTTGTGATAGATTTAATGCTGTGTCAACAGAGTAGAAATAAGCACCAATACATGTCTGGCCATAGTGTTAGCCCTCATCAGTTTCCGGAGCTTTTGTAGCTAGCTTACATAACCCGTTTAGATTTGTGCTGATCTGCTCTCTCCTTCTTCTGTGTCTCTAAATTCCCACATCTCTTTTCTCAGGAGAGTCCTTTGACATAGATGAGCACATCAGTGAGAGGCAGGCAGAGGTTCTGGCTGAGTTTGAGAGGAGGAAGCGGGCCAGACAGATTAATGTGTCCACTGATGACTCTGAGGTGAAGGCCGGTCTGAGAGCACTCGGGGAACCAATCACACTCTTTGGTGAAGGTCCAGCTGAGAGGAGAGAAAGGTGAGGACAGCTATATAATTTCTGCAAAACTTTGCGGCTGTGGCAACTGTATCCCCAATCTGCTGCTTTTGCAGCTTAGGGGGGTACTGTTGGGGGAGCATTATATTCGGCTTAAGATACAATTTGATCAGTACTTTTTATGACTCCTGCAGTGTTTCTGCATCCTCAGGTTGCGGAACGTTCTCTCTGTTGTTGGCACAGATGCTTTAAAAAAGACTAAAAAAGAAGAAGAGAAGACTAAGACATCAAGTGAAGAGGTACAAAAAAAAAGCATTCTAATGCTTTGTAGGTGCTTTGTGTAGTGGTCACTATGTCAATTTACACACACATTTTCCTTCTTTAGTATCAAAAGACATGGTATCACGAGGGCCCTACCACCCTGAAAATTTCCCGTCTGTGGATTGCAAAATACTCCCTTCCACGGTACGTATGTATGTATGGTCTTGATGCTTTCGTGAGTAGCAATTCTCAACTTTTAATGTTAAATATCTCTTTAGTTGTGACTAAAACTGCAGCCTGCTACAGAGAAAGTATAGTATATTTTCAGTTCTTATTACAGCATTTAAAGAGGAGTTTCAGTGTTCCCCAAAAAAATAAAAGCTACAAATAATGTAAGCTTTAATAAAAGGACACTTACTTGTACAGGGAACCAGCCCCACTCGGACTGGTTGTTTGCTGGTCTTCGAGGCACTGGCATGTTTGCTAAGTCTTGTGGCAGACAGAAGAAAAGAGACAGGAGGCGCCCGTCTGAGTGAAGTAATAACACTGTATTTAATAGCAAAGGTTTAAAAAACACTCACAAAGGAAGTAATAAAACAAGCTCATCTGTGTATATGAGAGATGACCGTTCCTCAAAACCTTTTTGCTTGCACCACCGGTGGTTAGTGCATTAGCAGCTGGTCTGATGGAGATGGTGGGAGACATTGTAGTGGTCAATTCTACAGAGTGGTGGTGTTGTAGAGGCGATCCACAGTGGATAGGCTCTACAACACCATCACTCTGTAGAATTGACCACTACAATGTCTCTCACCATCTCCATAAGACCAGCTGCTATTGCACTAACCACCGGTGGTGCAAGCAAAAAGGTTTTGAGGAACGGTCATCTCTCATATACACAGATGAGCTTGTTTTATTACTTCCTTTGTGAGTGTTTTTTAAACCTTTGCTATTAAATACAGTGTTATTACTACACTCACACAGGCGCCTCCGTCTCTTTTCTTCTGTCCCTGCATACAGATCTGGCTTGCTCCGAGGATGGCTGCTGTCTTTTTGTGCTAAAAAGATTCCAGGTAGATTGCCTGAGAGATTCTTATAAGGACTTATTGTACACCAATGCATTTACACACCCTGTTTTAACCACTTCCTGTCCGGATACTTTTACCCCCTTCCTGTCCAGGGCAATTTTTAGCTTTCAGCGCTATCACACTTTGAATGACAATTGCGCGGTCATGCAACACTGTACCCATATGAATTTTTTACCATTTTTTTGAGACAGATAAAGCTTTATTTTGGTGGTATTTATTCACCGCTGGGATTTTTATTTTTTTTACTATGTAAATGAAAAAGTTCAAAAATTTTTTAAAAAAAAAGTGTTTTTTTAAATAAAATTTTGCAAATAAATAATATTTCATCATAAATCTTAGCCAAAATTTATTCCGTTATTTTTTTTAGTAAAAAAAAAAATCCAAATTAGTTTATAACCAAAAATTATAATTTTTAAACATTTTTTTTTACATTTTTTTTTACATTTTATTTTATTTTTTTTTTTATTTTTGATTTTTTTTTTTTTTTTTTTACATACGGTCACCCTAGCAGTACACTGTCACCATGGTGACACTGTACTACTTGTGGAGGGTGATGAAGATTTTTTTTTTTTTTTACACCGATTGCTTTTACACCCATATAGGATGTAAAAGCAATCATTTCTCTTTCTCTCTGTCTGCATTCCTGCAGTCATTGAGAATTACTGAGTGAGCTGTGAGTGGTCACAGCTTGTCACATGGTACAAGGCTGTTGTGAATAGCCTTGTACCATGTGACCTCTGTGATCATTCACAGATTTCACACATAGTAAGCAATGATGTCACAAGTGACATCTTGCTTACTACTTTGCATGTGATCACTGATTCGCCAATCAGTGATCACATGATCGGGACCTCGTACAGAGGTCCCGTCCGACGATCGGTGTTTCACTGTGTCCGGAGGACACAGCGGGCACCGGATCGCGGTGGTGCGCGCTCCCAGGGAGCGCGCACAGCTAGAAAAGGCGGGTGCCGTTTATGGACGGCAACCTGCCCCTGGACTGCCACCGCCCTGCCGTTTATAAACAGCAGGCGGACGGCAAGAGGTTAAGTACTTCTATGCCAATATTGCCATTATCTTTTACTTTATCATTTTTATTCTTTTTACTCTTACACTACTTTACTCTTATGTGCCAGAGTTACTTGTTTTTTACGATAAGTCTTGTGGCTTCACAGCTGACTTCCCACTGCACATGCACCACGCTGCACTTTTGTGAATGGTCCTGCAGCCTTTTGGGACCTGTGACGTGTCCCAGAAGGCTGCGGGCAAAGAGAGGGCTGAACTTCCACTCAGATTGCCTAGGCAGTCTTGGTAGAAGTGGGAGCCAGTACCTCCCCATCCAAAAAAATATGTGTTCAAAAGCAGTAGAAGAGGGAGGAGGCAGAAAAGGGAAACCTTTCCCTTTTGGGATCTTAGGTGCACACTTAAGTAATCGTGTCTTGCTTAGTCTGCTTGCCCTTATAAATACTGGAAGTACAGAATGGATAGCAAAGGCTCTGGTGGAGTGGAAAACCTCACTGTTTAGTTCACTTTGTACCTCCTAACTTTTTACTGTGGAGATGTTGAAATGAGGGACTAGCTTATATGTCAAGAGAAAGTGGCCACCCCCTCTACTGACATAAATATATGGGCTGCCTTTGATGACCACCTAATGAAAACACTAACTGCCTTGCTGACCACCTAATGAAAACACTAACTGCCTTGCTGACCATCTGATGAAAACAAACTGCCTAGCTGACCACCTGATGAAAACACTAACTCCCTTGCTATGTGCTTTAAAAAAGAAGAGAAGACTAAGACATCAAGTGAAGACTAAGACATCAAAAATAGCATTTCCAGGAGAGGTCAGAAGTGACAGCTTACATTTTTTTTTCTCAGCACAGTTTTCCTCTACAGCAAACTAGATTTGGTGATAAAAATCTTTATTGCAATTCAAAGGATGAATTTTCCCATAATACTTTTCTTTCCAGGGCGATGGAGCGTCTGGAGGCTGCCCGAGAATACCGGCATATCCCAGAATCCACAAGGACCTCTCAGAAACAAGAGCTGCACAAATCTCTCAGAGTAAGCAAATGTTATTTGGAGTTGGAGCGTTGACCAGTATGGTTGCACATTGTATTGTAAGGTGTTTAATGCTTGCTAATCTGCTTTTTTTTATGTTACAGTCCCTTAACAACTTTTGCAGCCAAATTGGAGATGATAGACCTTTGTCATTTTGTCATTTCAGTCCTAATTCTAAACTCCTGGCTACAGCATGTTGGTGAGTGGGGAAGGTGCAGTCCTATGGAAGGGCTTACATTCCATTCTTACAGGACAGCTAAAGCAAAAGCTATATGCATTTCAGAAAAAAGCTGCAACTAATAATAGCAGATATCTATATAAAAGTCCTATGCCAGTACAGAATCAGATATTTGTTTGACCTTTGTTTAGCTTTGTTGCTCAGCCTTTTGCTCTATGGTATGTAAGCTGCCATTGAGGGCTAAAGGAGGTACTAAAATGAAAGCTAACCATTTTCACTGTATCATTACTGGACATACGAATTCACATTCTCCTGTATATTTATGTGGTGGGGCAGGTGTGGGCAGAGGAGTTGAAGCATGCAGTTGCAGCTGAACTGGTTCGTGCCATGTCTGTGACAGACGTGGCATACAACAGGGAACAGATCACTCCGAATTAACAAGGGGGCACAGCATCTGCTGCATTTTTTCAGCTTAGAAGAGTGGTGCAGGCTTTTTTTCTGCCACTCTTTGTTGATTCCCTCATAGAGTGATAGTGTAGACCAAGTTGTTCATAGAGTCTGCCTTTTTTTTTTTTTTTTTTTCCTTGATTTTAACTTTTTTCCTGCTAATTGAGTGTGCTGGAAAATATTTCCATGCCAATACCAGCTAAAATTTTAATTTTTTTTGTTTTTTCGTTGAATCATTTGATTCATGAAAAAGGATTTCTAGATCACTATAAACATTATCTAAAGAGGCAGCACTACTTTCCAGCTCCGTTTTGTCTGATTGAAACTTTCTACTGAGCTGTGTGATGAGAGAAGTCACTGCTGTGATGACTTATGCAGGCCATAGATGGGTCGAAAATTGGCCGATTTTCGGATCGTTAGTGGGCTAATTGTTCGGCCGTTTTTCTGTATTTTGGCAGATTTTTTTATCAGTAAAGTTGGAAAAAAATCGGCCGACTTTGCCAATCGGCCGATTTTCGCGGCAATTATGGGCAAATCGGCAGATCTTTTACCGATAAAAAAAATCTGCGCATGAGCAGTGACCTGAAAGAGGAAGACAAAAAGAAGAAGAAAAAGAAGAAGAGGATGAAGAAGAAGAGGATGAAGAAGAGGAAAAAGAGGATGAGAAGAAGAAGAGGATGAAGAAGAGGAGGATGAAGAGGATGAAGAAGAAGATGAAGAAGAAGAGGATGAAGAAGAAGAGGAAGATGAAGAAGAGGAAGATGAAAAAGAGGAAGATGAAGAAGAGGAAGATGAAGAAGAGGAAGATGAAGAAGAGGAAGATGAAGAAGAGGATGAAGAAGAAGAGGATGAAGAAGAAGAGGATGAAGAAGAAGAGGATGAAGAAGAAGAGGATGAAGAAGAAGAGGATGAAGAAGAAAGAGGATGAAGAAGAAGAGGATGAAGAAGAAGAGGATGAAGAAGAAGAGGATGAAGAAGAAGAGGATGAAGAAGAAGAGGAAGATGATGAAGAAGAGGAAGATGAAGAAAAAGAGGATGAAGAAGAAAAAGAGGATGAAGAAGAAGAAGAGGATGAAGAAGAAGAAGAGGATGAAGAAGAGGAGGATGAAGAAGAGGAAGATGAAGAAGATGAAGAAGAGGAAGATGAAGAAGATGAAGAAGAGGAAGAAGAAGAGGATGAAGAAGAGAGGAAAGAAGAAGAGGAATTCCAGTCCGGCAAAAAGTGTCCCTGCAGAGAGCTCCGCTATTTCTTTGACAGTTCCTTGACATTTATAGCAGTTGCAACAATGTATCTATTTGTTTCCGAATAAAAACATCTGTATCCTAAATGGATACAAATAGATACATTGTTGCAACCGCTATAAATGTCAAAGAACTGTCAAAGAAATAGCGGAGCTCTCTGCAGGGACACTTTTTGCCGGCTGTAGACGGGATGAAAATCGGCCGATTTTTTTTTTTTACCGTTGCTGGTAACGTCGGCCGCTTGAACGACTGATTTTTCGTTTTTTTTTTAAAGAAAAATAGGCCGAATTTCGACCCATCTATGCATTACTCCAGTTGTGTGGAATTGTTTCAGCACAATTGAAATTGAAAATGTGAAGCATCTAGAGCTCCATCTTCTGGATGGATAGGAGACTGCATAAGTCTAATATGCAGTATTTCATCTTCACATTTAAAAAAATAAACATATTTTTTTTAGTCCTGACAATAAGTAAAGGAGAAAATATTTCAAAGTCCTCTATAAATTCTAGTTATATGACTCTTTGGTCATACAGGTTAGCTGACAATGTAAATATATTGAATATGAAGCAGATCTATTTTCTGGTATCTTTTCTCCTAGGAGTGGACTTTGCAAACTGTGGTCAGTTCCAGACTGTACACCTGTGCGCACATTAAGAGGTAATCCTGCATCACCTTAAAGCTAAACGGCATTTATTTATTTTTTAATTATACTGTAACCACTTAACCTCCGGAAGATTTACCCCCCTTCATGACCAGGCCATTTTTTGCTACACGGCACTGCATTACTTTAGCTGACAATTGCGTGGTCATGCAACGCTGTACATGAATGGAATGTATGTCTTTTTTCCCACAAATAGAGCTTTCTTTTGGTGTTTTTTTTATCACCTGGCTTTTTATTTTTTGCACTATAAACAAAAAAGACCGATTTTGAAAAAAAAAAAAGCAAAACATTTTTTACTATCTAATATAAATCTAATTTGATCATAAATTTAGGCTAATATGTGTTCTGCTACATATTTTTGGTTAAAAAAAATCCCAATAAACGTATATTGATTGATTTGTGCAAAAGTATTAGCGTCTGCAAACTATGGTATACTGGAATTTTTATTTATTTATTTTTATACTAGTAATGGTGAAGATTAGTGACTTATAGCAGGACTGTGGTATTGCAGCGGATAATCTGACACTAACTGACTCTTCGTGGGAACCAGTGACACTAATACAGTAATCGGTGCTAAAAATATCCACTGTCACTGTATTAATGACACTGGCTGGGGAGGGGTTAAATATCTAGGGCAGGGGTCCTCAAACTTTTTAAACGGGGCCATCTCACTGACCTTCACACTGTTGGGGTCTGGACTGGACACTGCTATGCACGGTACACTGTAACGCACTATACACCGCAAAGCACGGTACACTGTAATGTACTGGACACCGCAATACATTGTACACTGTAACGCACTGGACACCTCCATGCGCTGTACTCTGTAACACACTGGACACTGCAATACATTGTACTCTGAAATGCACTGGACACCACAACACACTGGACACCGCCATGCACTGTACACTGTAACGCACTGGACACCGCCATGCACTGCACACTGTAACACACTGGACACCGCCATGCACTGTACACTGTAGCGCACTGGACACCGCCATGCACTGTACACTGCAACGCACTGGACACCGCAGTACACTGTAACGCATTGGACACCTCCATGCACTGTACACTATAACGCACTGGACACTGCAATGCATTGTACTCTGAAATGCACTGTACACCATAACGCACTGGACACCCTAATGCATTCTACACCGTAACCTACTGGACACTGCAATGCATTGTATGCATTGTACTCTGTAACACACTGGACATTGAAACGCACTGGACACTTCCATGCACTGTACTCTGTAATGCACTGGACACCTTTATGCACTGTACTCTGTAATGCACTGGACACTGCAATGCACAGTACACCTTAACGTACTGGACACTGCAATGCATTGTACTCTGTAACGCACTGGGCACTGAAACGCACTGGACACTTCCATGCACTGTACTCTGTAATGCACTGGACGCTGCAATGCATTGTACTCTGAAACGCACTGGATACCACAATACACTGTACACTCTAACACACTGAACACTGTAATGCTCTGGACACCACAATGTACTTTACTCTGTAATGCACTGTAACGCACTGGACACCTCAATGCACTGTACTCTGTAACACACTGGACACTGCAATGCACTGTACTCTGTAACGCACTGGACACCGCGATGCACTGTTACACGCACTGGACACCGCGGTGTACTGTACTCTGTAACGCACTGGACACTGCAATGCACTGTAAACTGCAATGCACTGGACACTGCAATGCACTGTAAACTGCTGCAACGCACTGGACACCACAATGCACTGTACTCCATGTCGCACTGCACACTGTTACAGTGTACAGTGCATGGCAGTGTCCAGTGTGTTACAGATTCTTCAGACTTTGTTAGGTAACCAACTTCCAAAAGTCTGTCCAGAATTACCTGTCTGAATATTTAGGACTCATCTTAGAAATGTAACGGGCAAAGGTATTCCTTCCGCCAATTAAGCTTCCCTCTCTAAGGTCTTATGCTTGAACTTTAAGATCAAAAAGGTGTCCCTCTTTGAGTGCTCTGGCCAAATGGTTGCCTCATTCAAAGCTACTCTCTTTACTCAGTTCCACTCAAGACCTCTCAAATACAACATTCTATTGGCCTGGAACAAAACACTCTTCATTTCTCGACTTCCCTATGCTTCTCTCCAGCCGAGAAGGAACTCTCTAGCTCTCACAGTTCAGGGAACCTGGTCACCCAGAGAAGCAGCACTTCTCATCAATATCGTAAAGCACAGAGCATTAAAAACTGGCTCTTCACCTCTGGACTCTGCTTCTCCAGGGACACCCAGTCAGGGTTTCTTTTTGGACAATGCGGTGGCAGTGGCCTATATCAATCATCAGGATGAGCCAGCAGTCAGTCTGCCTTGGCAGAAGCAGGTCTGGTGATCTCCTGGACCCAAAAGCACTGCCCAGCAATCTCTGCTGTTCACATTCCAGGAGTGCACAATTGGAAGATGGATTTTCTCCACCCTCATTGCCTGAACCAAGGGGAATGGTCCCCCAATCCAGTCTCCTATGTCAGAAATGGGAGACCCCAGATATGGAGATCCTGCCCTCCAGGTTCAATAACAATTTGCTCCTGTTTGTGACCAGGAGTAGTGATTCTCTAGCACTAGTATCTGATGCTCTGGTAATCTAATGGACTACGTTCAGGTTAAGATATGCTTTTTCTTCCAGTGTTTATTCTTCAACAACTCACCTGTCCTATCCTGGATAGTTGAAGAGAAGAAAATGGTGCTTCTCATTGCATCAAACTGACCCAGGAGAATCTGGTACACAGACATACTCAGGCTATTAGGATGATGAGGATGGGAGAGGATTGATAGGAGGATCATTAGGAGATGATGCCTGGCCTCTCCAAAATAAGTCAGACCTGCTGTTCCAAGGTCCCCCCTGTATCATTCTCTTTCAGTCATTGGCTTTGACGGCATTACTGTTGAACCCTGGGTCTTAAAGGACACGGGTATATATGACTCTACTACCCTACCTAGACTTCCTTTTTTGACTTGTGTGAACATAGGCATTTCAACCTAGAGATTTTTTGGTTGCTAATATTTTGGCAGATAGGAATGCACTAAAATTTGGCTCAAAGTACTCTTAAGGGACAGGCTTTGGCTTTGTCCATCTTATTTTAAAGCCTTTGTATTCTCTGTCTTGTAAAACCTTTATTCAAGGTGTCTTACAGATCGGTCCCCCGTTACAGCACCCTGTGCTTTCCTTGGGATTTTAGTTTGGTCCTCTTTGCTCTGCAGAATCCTCCCTTTGAACTTGTTAGGAAACTCCCCTTAGGTAATCTCCTGCAAAGTGGCCTTCTTGGTGACTATCACATTTGTTAGTCATATTTCAGAGTTAATGGCCCTCTCCTAAGGATCCCTTCCTAATCCTTCACAGAGACAAATTAGTCTTCTGTCTTGTTTCCAAACATATCAAGGAAATTCATTTTCATTGGCTAGATGTAGTCAAAGTCAGAAAAAACTGCCAACGGAGTCTCTTAAGGACACCCGGCATCCAAGTCTGCTATTGCCAGGTGGATAAGTCATTCTCGGAGCCTATATGCTAAAGGATATGGTACCTCCTATACCCATACGTGCTCACACCACCAGATCGGTGGCGGTTTCATGGGTTTCCACCATCTGTTGCTCAACGTTTTAAGGCCACCACCTGATCTTTAGTTCATACGTTCTCCAAGTTCTACCTGTGGGATTTCAAGGTCTCTGCGGATGTAGCTTTAGACAGCAAGGTTTTTCAGCTGCACTCTGAGTTGGGTCTTTTCTGTTTTGTTGTGCCCATTGGCATGGTTCTGTTTGCCTTTTTGTTGCCCACCTTTCTGATTCATTGCATGAGTCATTCCATGATCTTTGAATATCCAACCTGTGTCCTGTACTATACTATTAAGATAAAAGAAATTATTACCTGTAAATTACATCTTGCAGTACAGTACAATACATTAGCCACCCTCCCCTACCCCTGAGTGGGGTAGGCATATAGGGGTATGCCAAAAGGGGGCATGTCCAAAAGCTTTGCCAGTGTTCAGTCACCTGAAAGTAGCAGCCTAATCCAGGGTCCTTAAATATCCAGCCTGTGTCCTGTACTGTACTCCAAGACAAGAAATATGCAGATTAGTCATAATTTCATTTTTGGTGTTGCCATCATGTTGAATCAGGTACAGCCTGCAGTTTTGGTCTCATATTTCTCTTTGACCCCACTAGGACACAACACAAATGTGGGAGCCATTGTGTTCCACCCCAAATCCACAGTATCGGTGGATGAGAAAGATGTGAATCTGGCTTCCTGTGCCGCAGATGGATCTGTAAAACTATGGAACCTGGAGAGGTGAGATTCCTTGGTGGTGTGTATGTGCATTGAGGGCTTCTATGGCAAGTTTAGCTGCAGTATGACTTTCCTTTTTCTGTCATATGCAAATAACTTCCTAATTGGCTGTCTTAGACTCCCGTGGCTCTGACAGGAACGCATGACCCACTCTTTTTACTCCAAAGTCGTAGTGCTTTTGCTTGGCACTGGTTTCCCAGGTGCAAATTCTGTTACATGTTGGGTACCTTGAGAGTATCTGACCTTTGTAAACGTCACATAAAATGCACTTGGAGCTTATCCTGGCCTCTTCTTCCTTCTCCTGGTCATAAACAGAGTGGTGGAGGATCAAATGAAAGGTAATATGCTGCGGGAGTCAGCTTGTGAACCTGTTACAGGTTCACTTTGAGAGCATCTCTCTATAGCAGGTAATCTATGAATGTCTCTGATTTAACAAAAGTAAAATCAAGCATAAAAATGACTTTAAAACATAAGGGGTGGTAAACAAATAACAGCCTTACCTGGTCCAGTTCCCTTATGCTGAATCTTCCCTCTGATACAGAGCTGCACCTCTCTGAAGAATCTTTACATCAGAGACACTTCCAGTTGTGGTAGATGCCTACTTCCCCCACTGCTTTCCATAGTGGCTTCTGCCACCCTTTCTCACTACTGTGTCCCATAGTGAACTGCAGTGCACTGTCAGGAGGAACCAAGCTGCACAGCAGTGTGTCGGATGTAAAGAATATTTGGGGAGGTGCAGCACTACAGCAGAAGGAAGATTCAATGAATGGTCACCAGACCTGAAAGGTGTGAAGTCTACAAGTCACAGGTTCAATTTAAGCACTTTAAGGTAAACACTGAAGTGAAACTGTAGAATACATGCTCTCTAAAAATGGCAGTTTTCAAGTAGGGTTGGATCAGGTAGTAATCTCATGGCTATTAAGATCGCCCTATTGCAGTCCCATAACAATCTATTAGCTGTCCAAAATCTGCCAAAACAGAGGTATTACTTTTTCTTATAATTTCTCAGGATTATTTCATTCATCTCTCCAAAGGCTTCTAGTGCCACTTCTGTGCTACTGAATAGTGTGGTGCTGCTAAAGTAGAGAGCTGTGCAGAGTGCCCTGTACTTTCAACTCACCGTTATAACAACTCATCATACTGCATACAGCTCCACAAATATAAGCGATGGATAATATTCGTTCTTCACACACAATGACATGTGAAAAGCTCTCTTAACGAGTAACATGACCATGAGGGAGCAAAGTACTGTCAGCTCCCTGGAGAGATGGCTCACCACAACAACAGCTCAGCATAATTATACCTTCAGAGAAAAGAGGTTTACTACTTAACAAGGAGGAAGGCAAGAAAAATACTCTTCTCCAAGTTAATCAGCATCTTTAATTAGAACTTAGAGGTTATCTCATCCCTCTAAAACAGGCCTAATGTGCTCTGTTCAGAAAGGCCAGAGATAAGAATGGATTATGCTGCTTTTTCTGAACACATTACGTTATGACACATAGTCCGAGAACAGGATAAAGTATCAGCTCCTGTTTTCAAGGGATTTTGTATTTTTCTAACGGTACCTTAGTCTAATGTACAGGTGAAAGAGAGCCACTTAAACTAAACCCATGTTTTGATAATGCAGGGCAAAGCAACAGGTTCACATAAATAATAAATAGGTAAAAGTGCAGCGCTAAATTTTAATAGATGAATGAATAATAAAATGTCCCAAAAACATATTATAAACGCATGAATAAATAGTTCATAAAATATATAGGTAATCCACTAGATGTCGCAGTATACCACGGCAAGTAGTTGCTGGGGCAAATGATAAAATTGCGCACTCACCAGACGCGCATAGGTAATGCGCATGTAATCAATATCCAACCAGGTCACTTAGGAAGGCGGAATATGTGAGCATCCATCTAAAGGTGGAAAATCTTGTCTTGGGTGGTAAGTGATTAAAACTGCCAGGTCCAGAGGTCCCCTTAAGGTTGGATGGGTGCACAGACTGGATACAGGGCTCCCTCCCTCTGGTGGTAGTGGATAGTAATGGGATATCCTGGATATTAATTAGCTCCAATGGGAGCCAAAAAGATGCCCATAGTGTAGTATTGTTAAAAGGACTTTATTCAGACAATGCAGTGGTAAAACAGTGTAGTGTACACTCCATGTATGTCAGAAATAATGTAGAGTGGTACTAACCCCTTATTAAAGATGGCCGCCGGGCCTCCTCGTGGCTCCAGGCAGCAGTGATATCACGCTCTGTTGGCTCCTCCTCACATAAATGCCCCTTCCCAGCAGCATATGCTTTTTTCCTAACTCCCCATGCCAATCCGTTTGCTTTCAGGAGTGAGGAAAAATACTCAGTACTTGCAGGTAGGGAAGAGTATGTGAATGCCCTTCTTCCTCAGTGATAGTACTGGAGCTTGGTGATTAGCCTGGTGCTGTCATATGCATGGCATGAGTCCTCAGCCCAATGTCAGTTCTATAGCAAATGTGAATTTACCTAGGGCTTCCTTTCCAAGCTCCTGGTGGCTGGATGGAGCTCTGGGGACGAAGGGAGGTAATTTGCCCATTGCTTTGTCCTTTGTTGATATCTTATCACAGAGGTAAAGGTAAGGTACCAATTGGATAAGGTGTTGCAGTCACTGTTTCTCTGAGATCTTGGGGATGGCTGTGTCTGCATAAGCTCAGATATAAGATTGTCACTCAGATTTGAACCAAAGGTGACTTTTTTTTTTTTTTTCCATTTTGGATAGAACAAAGGGGGGGGGGGGGGAGGGGGTTTAACCCCTGTCCGTTTTGTTTTCGCCATCTGTGCCCCATTGCAGAGATTTTTCTTTACTCTCATAGCCAAAACAGGAAGTGAGATGAAATCCCTCTAAAGTGAGGGAATCCCTGTGTGTCACCTGATCTAGTGTCCCCATTGAAAGATTTTACCTCTAGTCCTGTTCTGATATCAACCCAAAATATAAGATGTTCTTTTACCTTTGCTTTCGATGATAATGGTAAACAGGACTAATAGAGCGGGTGAATCTCCCTAACAGGGACACAGACAGCAATAAAAACCTGACAATGATTTTAATCTCTCTCCACTCTTTCTAAAACTAAAAAAAAAAAATGTTTTGCCTTATACTTGCCTGTACTTATAGGCCCCTTTCTGGCTTTGCTCAGCAGGGTTTCTGTCCCTGGATCCCCTGCTGAGCGGAGTGGAGCTGCCAGATGACAGGTCCAAGTCTGCTCTGCTTATGCATGGACACAGCCCACTCTCCTCTCTAGGCAGTCGGATGTAAATAGACAGGCTGTCTGTTTACACCCGACTGCCCTCCAGTCTGATCTGGCCAGACAGAAGGGAACAGATCTCCAGATCGAAGGTAGCCAAGTGTAAATGGACAGGCTGTCTGCTTGCATCTGACTACCCGTAGAGGAGAATGGAGGGACCGGTCATGTCCCACTGAAAAACAAACAGGTGGACCTGACTGGACTGCTCACGTGAAAAGAGCTTAAGGGAAAGTGTGGTGTATTTTCAATTAAATTCTTGTTGTGTATACCTTAGATTTTTATATGACATTCACAATTTTATAATCTTGCTCTTCAATATTTTATTGTATTAAATATAGATATTTTTAGATTGGCCACCAGAGGAAGTGTTCAATAATTTCGTAGTTCAGTATATTTGATCTATGTGGCTGATTTACGGGGGGGAGTTGAGAATTGGTTACTTTATTGTGTAAATGTTTGCTTAAATTTTCCATTTGTGTGAAAAGCAAACTCTTGTTTGAATACATAATCTTGTAAATAAAATATGTACACAGGCTTTTTCTTTTCACATGATTGGATATTTGAAGTGAATATTCAATTCATTGATTGACTTAAAATGGTTCTAAAGTCTAAACATTTTTTACTTTAATGCATTCCTTGCATTAAGGTAAAAAAAGTTTAGGCATTGGTTGTGGCCCCTCAACACCCCCTTTACTTATCTGAGCCCTCATTCGATCCAGTGCTGTTCATGTCTTCAGTTTTTCTCTTCCCTCACTTCCATGTCTCACTGGCTTTGCTGGAGCCCCTGGAGCCATGGAGCCATTGGCTCGTGCTGCTGTCAGTCAAAGCCGAATCCTGCTGTCAATGGTCGCAGCAGCAGGGCTTGAGTGTGAGCACCCACAGGTGCCCCCACGGGAAGTGACTTCCCATGAGGGCACTGGACAGAGAAGAGGAGCTAGGATCGCCAGTGGGGGACCTGAGAAGAGGAGTTTCAGGGCCGCTCTGTGCAACTCCATTGCACAGAGCAGGTAAATTTAGAGGTATTTGTTGTTTTAAAAAAAAAAAAAAAAATCCTTACAATCCCTTTAAAGAATATATAAACTCAACATTTCATGCTCCTGATATGTGCCTGCTGTACTTGGATGAAAAAGTATCCTGTTCTTTGTATTGCTTTCTTTGTGTGAAATACCTGGTGTTCCTGCAAGTCCCTCTGCTTCCGATTTAAAACTAGCTACAGTCAGGTCCATAAATATTGGGACATCGACACAATTCTAAAATTTTTGGCTCTATACACCACCACAATGGATTTGAAATGAAACAAACAAGATGTGTTTTAACTGCAGACTGTCAGCTTTAATTTGAGGGTATTTACATCCAAATCAGGTGAACGGTGTAGGAATTACAACAGTTTGCATATGTGCCTCCCACTTGTTAAGGGACCAAAAGTAATGGGACAATTGACTTCTCAGCTGTTCCATGGCCAGTGTGTGTGTTATTCCCTCATTATCCCAATTACAATGAGCCGATACAAGGTCCAGAGTTCATTTCAAGTGTGCTTTTTGCATTTGGAATCTGTTGCTGTCAACTCTCAAGATGAGATCCAAAGATCTGTCACTATCAGTGAAGCAAACCATCATTAGGCTGAAAAAACAAACAAACCCATCAGAGAGATAGCAAAAACATTAGGCGTGGCCAAACAACTGTTTGGAACATTCTTAAAAAGAAGGAACGTACCAGTGAGCTCAGCAACACCAAAAGACCCGGAAGACCACGGAAAACAACTGTGGTGGATGACCAAAGAATTCTTTCCCTGGTGAAGAAAACACCCTTCACAACAGTTGGCCAGATCAAGAAACACTCTCCAGGAGGTAGGTGTATGTGTGTCAAAGTCAACAATCAAGAGAAGACTTCACCAGAGTGAATACAGAGGGTTCACCACAAGATGGAAACCATTGGTGAGCCTCAAAAACAGGAAGGCCAGATTAGAGTTTGCCAAACGACATCTAAAAAAGCCTTCAAAGTTCTGGAACAACATCCTATGGACAGATGAGACCAAGATCAACTTGTACCAGAGTGATGGGAAGAGAAGAGTATGGAGAAGGAAAGGAACTGCTCATGATCCTAAGCATACCACCTCATCAGTGAAGCATGGTGGTGGTAGTGTCATGGCGTGGGCATGTATGGCTGCAAATGGAACTGCTTCTCTTGTATTTATTGATGATGTGACTGCTGACAAAAGCAGCCGGATGAATTGTGAAGTGTTTCGGGATTATTATCTGCTCATATTCAGCCAAATGCTTCACAATTCATTGGACGCTTCACAGTGCCGATGGACAATGACCCAAAGCAGACTGCAAAAGCAACCAAAGAGTTTAAGGGAAAGAAGTGGAATGTTCTGCAATGGCCAAGTCCATCACCTGACCTGAATCCGATTGAGCATTTCACTTGCTGAAGACAAAACTGAAGGGAAAATGCCCCAAGAACAAGCAGGAACTGAAGACAGTTGCAGTAGAGGCCTGGCAGAGCATCACCAGGGATGAAACCCAGCGTCTGGTGATGTCTATGCATTCCAGACTTCAGGCTGTAATTGACTGCAAAGGATTTGCAACCAAGTATTAAAAAGTGAAAGTTTGATTTATGATTATCATTCTGTCCCATTACTTTTGGTCCCTTAACAAGTGGGAGGCACATATGCAAACTGTTTGTAATTCCTACACCCGTTCACCTGATGTGGATGTAAATACCCTCAAATTAAAGCTGACAGTCTGCAGTTAAAGCACATCTTGTTCGTTTCATTTCAAATCCATGGTGGTGGTGTATAGAGCCAAAAATGTTAGAATTGTGTCGATGTCCCAATATTTATGGACCTGACTGTATACTAGGCAGGGGACACACACCCCTCAGTTCTCTAGCTCGAGTTGAAACTTGGCCTGCTCTCCTCCAATGACCAGACTTTGTCGGTCTCTTTACTCTAAAAAAAAGCTAAGTTGCTTTAATAATATAATATTAATAATAATATTTGCTATTTTTTTTATATATGTTTTTATTTGCAGTGATGAACCAGTTGCAGACATTGAAGGTCACACTGTGAGGGTGGCAAGAGTGACATGGCATCCATCTGGACGTTTCTTGGGCACCACATGGTGAGCAGTCTGGCATTTTGGTCAGGGCACTGGGAATAACAGAGACTGCTATTCTGTAAATAATGATTGGCTTGTTTTCTTCCTGATTATTTTAGCTATGACCGTTCATGGCGCTTGTGGGATCTGGAAGCTCAGGAAGAGATTCTGCATCAGGAAGGACACAGTAAAGGGGTGTATGACCTTTCCTTCCACGTAGACGGGTCTTTGGCTGGCACCGGGTAAGGAGAAAGAATCATGCTGTGTGAAAGGGTATCAGGGGAGCAAGTCTGCTGTGATTTAACTCTCTTGAGAGGCAAGGCCTGACATTAACTCTTCTCAGTCTTGCTGCTCTTTAAGAATAGTACCTCTTTCCCCAACACACAATGTTCCTTCCACTTACACAATTGGTGTCTGAGCATCATTCATCACATCATAAGTGGTATGACTTTACAGACTCTCCTGCAGTTTGTCCTATAATCTGTATTCCGTCATGGTTCAGAATGAACAATAACTCAGAACACAGCTTTTTTTTTTTTTTTCTTTAGTTCCACTGATCCAGGAGCCAGTACCTTTTTTAACTTATTCAATACCAGGCACTTTCACCCCCTTCCTGTCCATGCCATTTTTCAGCTTTCAGCCCTGTTATATTTTGAATGACTCAGGCATGCAACACTGTACTCAAATGCAATTTTTATCGTTTTTGTTTAGATAGTTTTCATTTGGTGGTATTTAATCGCCACTGGATTTTTTTTTTTGCTAAAAAAATGAAAATAGAGCAAAAAAGTTTGAAAAAAATAGCTTGTTATAAAATATACCAAATAGGTTTTTTTTTTTTCTTAACTGATGTGTGCTGATGGGGCTGCACTGATGGGCACCGATGAGGCTGCATTGCTGGGCATCGATGAGGTTACACTGATGGGCACCCATGAGGTGACACTGATAAGCTGCACTGATAATCAGGGCACTGATGAGCTGTTCCCTGCTCATCAGTGTAAATGCTGTACTCACTGTGCCCTGACAGATCGGCTTTCCTTTCTTCACACGCAGTCTCTTGGTGAGGAAAGGAGAGCCGATAACTGGCAAAGGGTTTACATTGTGACAGCTGTGATTGGACACAGCTGATCCCATGGTAAGGGACCCCTTTACCTCAATCTGTGATCATTGCACAGTGGTCACAGGGCGTGAGGAAGGTGTGAATGTGGAAGGACGTGCGGAAGGCGTGAATGTGGAAGGACGTCCATGGAAGCTTGCGTGTAGCCGTCTATCGGCTATAGTGCATGCAGAAGGTGGTTCAGTTTTCAATAAGTACATTTGAACTATCTGTCAGCTGGTGCAAACCATGACCATGTCCTACCATCTACTGACTTGGCTTTTCTCCGGTTGCTTACATCTGTGTTTAACAGAGGTATCGATTGTTTGCCTCTACCCAAACAGCCTGTTAGTGTCTCTGGCTCCCACAAAACTATGGCAAAAAAATAGAACCCAGCTGGAGAGACCCAGAGAACAAGTATTTCTGTGTTGTACAGGGATTTTTAGAGTACAGATACATTGTTATGCCAGTGGGCTTAATGTCATTCTGCGACTTGAAATCCACTTAAAGTTAGGGGAGAATTGGAGGCTATAATTCGAGGAGAGTATGACTTGAGTGAATTATTTTTATGAGAATGGCTTTGATTAATATGGTTCATTACTCACATAACATTGCTACCTCTTGGTCATTTAGAGGCTTGGATGCTTTTGGACGAGTGTGGGATCTGAGGACCGGTCGCTGCATCATGTTCCTGGAAGGTCATCTAAAAGAGATCTATGGGATCAGCTTCTCCCCCAATGGGTAAATCTCAGTAGATTATAAGTGTGGCATGAGCAGTCATCTATTGCAAAATTCTAATTTTTACCTTTTTTGTGTTCTAGTTATCACATAGCAACAGGCAGCGGTGACAACACCTGCAAAGTGTGGGATCTGCGTCAGAGGCGCTGTATCTATACCATCCCTGCTCATCAGAACTTGATCAGTGGAGTGAAGTTCCAGCGTGAGTACAAACTTGTACTTTCCTTCTAGCTGGTTATAAGTGATGTGGTTTCCTAGTAAGTGGATAGGCTGCATTCTCAGTGATGTCATCGGTCTCTAATTAATGGACATTCTCAGGGGCGGACTGACAACTCATGAGGCCCCCGGGCAATAGGGGATCATGGGGCCCCTGTGTCCTTGCCCAAACTCAAAAAAGCCTATGAAAATGTACCAGGGGCATCTCATGGGGCCCCCTACTGACCCCGGGCAGTGCCCGAGTTTCCAAATGGTCAGTCCGCCCCTGCACATTCTGCATTCTCTGTGATGTCATCTGACTCTAGTGGATAGACGAGCTGCATTGTCAGTGATGTCACCAATCTTCAGTGGGTGGCTAGCCTGCATTCTTAGTGGTGTCACTGGTTTGAAGTGAATGGACAGACTGCATTCTTAGTGGTGTCACCAGTCAATGAATGATTCGGCTGCATGCTCAGCGATGTCCCCTGACTCTAGTGAATGGATACACTTTATTCTCAGTGATGTCACTTGTCTCTTATGAATGTGTAGACTGCATTCTTAGCGATGTTACTGGTTTGAAAGTAGTGCATAGGCTGCATTCTCAGTAATGTCACAAATGTCTAGTGAGTAGACAGGTAGAGGGTTATTTATTAAAACTAGAGAGTGCAAAATCTTGTGCAGCACTGCATAGAAACCAATCAGCTTCCAGGTTTCTTTCCAAAGCTTGATTGAACAAGCTGAAGTTAGAAGCTGATTGGCTACCATGCACAGCTGCACCAGATTCTGAGTGCTCCAGGTTTAGTAAATCTATCCCACAATGTCTTGATAATGTCCCTAGTTATTGAATAGGCTGCATTCTCTGTGATGTATCTAGTGAAAGAATAAGCTGCATTCTCGAAGTCCCCTGTCTCTAGTAAACGGACAAGCTGCATACTCTGTGATGTCTCAGGAAATGTACTCTGTGATCGTCTGTGCCAGGGTGTGTTGGATCCTTTGTGACCTTTGACTTGATACTCTATTGGAGCAGTATACTTGGTCTACATGAAAATAGCCCACCACTCTCTCTTATCTTGCAGCTACGAATGGTCAGTATCTCCTGACAGGAGCCTATGATAATACAGCCAAAGTGTGGACTCACCCTCTCTGGTCTCCACTGAAGACCCTGGCTGGACACGAGGGTAAGGTGATGGGGCTGGATATCTCACATGATGGGGAGCTTATTGCCACCTGCTCCTACGATAGAACTTTTAAGCTGTGGATGGCCGAGTGACATTTATGACAAAAGGACAATTATCAAGCCGTTTGTACCAGAGCATCACGAAGTGTTCAAACTCTCATAATGGAAGACACCTTAGTATCACAGAGCAGAAATGTTCAGTTTTTCTTCTTGTATTTTTATTAGTTACAATAAAAGAAATGTTTTTCATAAAGTCCAGTTTTGATAGTGTTTATTTTACAGATATCTCAGCAGCTGGGATCCTTTACAAAACTGGAAGGTCTCCTTCAGGCAGGCAGTGAACTGCATCACACGTTTCATTGGCATTGAATTTCAATCTCTCTTTTGGGTGGATCCACCATTTACGTTTGGCTCAGCACTGGAGCACATAGTAGTGAGTTAGTACTAGTGAGTTGCAAAATATGCAGGTCAGGATGTGGGCCTTCACTGGAGGTATGCTTGTTTCTAATGTATAGAGGAAGCACACCACATAGCCAAACTGCTTTAGCAATAAGTTCATATTAGGCATATACAATACATACAATCACCTAGCAGGTATAGAAAACCAAGTATGTCATCTAACATCAAGCATAATACAACAAGAATGTACACTTCATTGTTGAATAACAGCGAAGAACATGCATGCATATATGTGCAATGAGCTACACTTAAAGTGTTACTAAACCCAGGACCCTGCATTCAATATATCTGGTCTTTCACAGTACACACAGCATGGAAATGCAATAATTTTAGTAAATAAAAACTGTTAAATACCTTTTCTCATCAGCAGTTAGAGCAGTCTTGTGACTTCTATCAGTGTTCAACAGAGCACTGGTTAAAGCTTGTAGAAAGAGTTTTCTGTCTGCTCTAGGAGGATGCAGGACCCCTGACCTCTTGTCTGGACAGTGCTGATTGGCCCTGTGCTGATCACATATATGTACTCTCCCAAAAAAAAAAAAAAACCTCTCTAGCAATACACAGCGAACTGAGCATGTGCAGAATGGCTACAATTCAGTCTGTCTTATCAGGAGATAAGACTGGACATTTTGAACAAGAGGAGGCGCAGAGCAGAGAAGTCAGGATCAAATGGCCTTTTTACACAATGCAGAGGATTAACCCCTTAGGTTCCTCAGTGAGTATAACAAGCAAGCTTTAGTGCATATACAAATATTATAAATTGTTGCGCTCAAATATCAACTGGTAAACTATCACAAACGTATAAGTGATAACATAAATAAGTCCAAATGTAGAAAATAGTCGCAGTGCTATGAACCATATAGTAGATCACCATGTGTCTTCAATATAATTAGTGCTCCATCACCAAAAAATGGTAGGACTCTCGTCAGAACATATGGACCCTTGTGAAAGAGTCACAAACCCATGGCACAGGGAGAACATGCAAACTCCAGGCAGGTGGTGCTGTGGTTGGGATTTGAACCAATGACTCTAGTACTGCCAGGTGGAAGTGCTAACCATTTAGCCACTGTACTGGGTGGAGCTTGTGCGTCTTTCTACAATATGGTTCATAACACTAGGACTATTTATTTCTATATTTGGACTCATTTATGTTCTCACTTATAGTGTTGTGATAGTTTCCCAGTTGTTATATCTGAGCGCGGCAATTTATTAATAATATTTGTATACAATTGACCTGATTGTTTTCCAGCAGCTATTTTTCACTATATTTGTGCAACTTTTTTTTTGTTTACTGCATATACAGACTGATTTTACTGTTGTGGGTTTAGTAACACTTAAAATGTATAAGTGCTGATGTTCAGAAATACATACAGGAATGCAATACCCAGAATAGAGTAAAAAAGGAAAGCTGGTTGGAGGTTCTTGAGAGAGGGGGTTTTTGGGTTCCCAAAACGTTTTGTGTTTTTTTTTCCTCCTCCTCTCTCTTTTCACCAGGATCTGGCTCCGCTTTCCTTTTTTACTCTATTCTGGGTATTGCATTCCTGTATGTATTTCTGAACATCAGCACTTTTTAAGTGTAGCTCATTGCACCTATATGCATGTATGTTCTTTGCTGTTATTCAACAATGAAGTGTACATCTTTGTTGTATTATGCTTGATGTTAGCTGACATTTATTCTATACCTGCTAGGTGGTTGTATGTATTGTATCTATCCTGCTGATTTCTGTATAGCTGGCCATTGCTGAACTGAACTTCGGCCAGTTCAGCCGAATGGATCCATCTATGGCCGTTCCCATGCAAGAGGAATCTATCTAATGATCGACTTCTCTCGAACTGAAGGTAAATTTTCGTTTGATCGTTGTATGCGGCCAATCGGCTTCAGCGCTAATCAGTGTTTTCTGACAGGTCCCGTCAAAATAAAATAGTGCAGTGAGGAGAATGCCTCCATCTCACTTGGCTGATAGAAAAGAAAAATCTGAGTCCTCTATGGCCAACTTTAATAATCTCGGACCCCTTTTTATGTACCCATTTGTAATGCACGAGAGCCATTCTCAAGCTCACCCGCTGCAAGACCCTCATTGTCTCATGTATCCATGTCAGAACTTATTAGATATACAAGCCTGCCTTGGAAGGACTGAATGTGATTGGTCAAGCACAAGGCAGAAGAGAACAAGTTACGAACACGGGCTTTAGAAAACAGACCTATCCACTTCACATATGATGAGCTTTCTGGAATTTGACTGCGGTGGATTACAGATTAAGTTGGCTGGATGGATATTCTGTTTTTAGCATAGTTGTTGCCTGGAATTATTGTTTCAGACCTCTTTGGTGAGAGGAGACTCTTAAGTAAGCCTTTGTCTTCCTTAGGTCTTCTAGTGAAAAGTTAGAAAATCAGGGTTTGCTGGTATAGAAAAAAGATGTCTTACAAATCTAATTAATATCCAAAGATATTGTGAAAATTTGGCAGATTAACTTTTTATTCTTGTGACTGTAGCAAGGACAAGGAAGACATTGGTGTAGGAAGGGGTTATTTGCTTTAAGAATGGTTAAACTGCAGAATATACAACATGAGGTAGTTATGGCAAAAACAATTATATATATATATATACATGCACACTCATCGGCCACTTTATTAGGTACACCTTGCTAGTGCCAAGAAAATTTCCCCCCACACCATTTGACCACCACAACCATAGATACAAGGCAAGATGGATCCATGTTTCCATGTTGTTTGCAAATTCTGACCCTTCCATCTGAATGGCACAGCAACGAGTCTGCCCACTCTCCTCTGACATCAACAAGGCATTTTCAACCACACAACTGCCACTCACTGAATATTTTCTCTTTTTCGGACCATTCTCTGTAAACCCTAGAGATGGTTGTGCATGAAAATCCTAGCAGATCAGCAGTTTCTGAAATACTCAGACCAGCCCATCTGGCACCAACAACCATGCCACGCTCAAAGTCACTTAAATCCCCTCTCTTCCCCATTCTGATGGTCGATTTGAACTTCAGCAAGACGTCTTTGCCATGTCTACGTGCCTAAATGCATTGAGCTGCTGCCATCTGATTGATTAGCAATTTGTGTTACCAAGCAATTGAACAGGTGTACCTAATAAACTGGCTTTTGAGTGTGTGAGTATGGATATGTGTATAATATATTTATATTTTATTTTTTAAGAGGACTGGATAGTTCTCTTACAACAAATTCAGTTATAATTACTGAAGGAATATATAGAACTATTTAAAACAAGAATAGATTTGCTGGGTCAGTAAGGAAATTTTGCCCCCATGGGGCAAAAAATGACCAAAAGTTTCCAGAAAGTTTTGTTGTTAACCAACTTAAAGAAGTGGGGGTTTTTTTTGGGGGGGGAGGGGGGGGGTAAATGTGTATTTAAGGCAGAAATGTAGGGAAATATATAACATTTGTGAGCAGGAATGTTTGTTTATTGCAGAACAGACATACATAGGGAAGGATTAGCTAGAGCAGACAGAATCTGGAGCAGCTGAGCTTTAGTAATCAACCAGCTTCTAGCCTTATCTTAAATTTTGAAAATGAAAGCCAGAAGCTGATTGGTTGCCATGCACAGTTGCTCCCAGATTCTGTGTGCGCCAGCATTAGGCTGGCCATAGATACTGTGTGTATATATATATATATATACACACACATGCACACACACTCATCGGCCACTTTATTAGGTACACCTTGCTAATGTCAAGAAAATTTCCCCCCATACCATTACATCACCACAACCATAGATACAAGGCAGGATGTTTTCATGTTGTTTGCAAATTCTGACCCTGCAATCTGAATGGCACAGCAATGAGTCTGCCCACTCTCCTCTGACATCTACAAGGCATTTTCAACCACACAACTGCCACTCACTGAATATTTTCTCTTTTTCGGACCATTCTCTGTAAACCCTAGAGATGGTTGTGCATGAAAATCCCAGCAGAACAGCAGTTTCTGAAATATTCAGACCAGCCCGTCTGGCACCAACAAACATGCCACGCTCAAAGTCACTTAAATCCCCTCTCTTCCCCATTCTGATGCTCGATTTGAACTTCAGCAAGACATCTTTGCCATGTCTACGTGCCTAAATGCATTGAGCTGCTGCCATGTGATTGATTAGCAATTTGTATTACCAAGCAATTGAACAGGTGTACCTAATAAACTGGCTTTTGAGTGTGTGTGTGTGTGTGTGTAGTATGTATATAATATATACATATATATTTATATTTTACTTTTTAAGAGGACTGGATAGTTCTCTTACAACAAATTCAGTTATAATTACTGAAGGAATATATAGAACGATTTGAAACAAGAATAGATTTGCTGGGTCAGTAAGGAAATTTTGCCCCCATGGGGCAAAAATGACCAAAAGTTTCCAGAAAGTTTTGTTTTTATCCAACTTAAAGAAGTGGGTTTTTTTTTGGGGGGGGGGGGGGTAAATGTGTATTTAAGGCAGAAATGTAGGGAAATATATAACATTTGTGAGCAGGAAGGTTTGTTTATTGCAGAACAGACATACATAGGGAAGGATTAGCTACAGCAGACAGAATCTGGAGCAGCTGAGCTTTAGTAATCAACCAGCTTCTGGCCATATCTTAAGTTTTGAAAATGAAAGCCAGAAGCTGATTGGTTGCCATGCACAGTTGCTCCAGATTCTGTGTGCTCCAGCATTAAGCTGGCTATAGATGTTTAGATGTGAAAGAAAAAAAAAAAAAAAACCAAGCAAGGTGGACAGAGAAATCTTCCTACTTGAGACGTGTTCTGACAGTGGGATTCTCCGCTGTCAGAATACACTGATCAGCAGCTATAGGTGTTGATTGACAAACGTTTTCCAGCGTTCCCATTCGATAGAATTTGATCTAAAGATTGACCTCTGTCGAACAGGCAATGCCACACATAGATCGAATTTCAGCCAATCTCTGCTGACCTGGCCAAATTTTGCTCCATCTGTGGCCAGCTTTAGTAATTTCCCCACTTTGTCTCTTCTGCAAGAAGGATTCTTACCTTTCTCCTTGGGAACTGTGCACAATACAGCTCAGTGTACAATCCCAGTAACTGCTAAGTGTTTGGGCGAGTTCACTTTCTTGCTCATGAACTGTAGTACTAGTTATGCAATCCTGGCCTGACCAATCAAGATGGGTTGAAGATCCTGAACTTGGAAGATGCTGGCATGGAGCTTGCCTAGGCGAGTAGCACTTGGCCAGTGGTGGGTGTTGTGCAGGAAACCATCACTGATTAGCTGCTCAGGCAGAGATATCATACCTACACTTCCTATATTCAGAACCCACAGCTAAGGTCCAGAGGTCTCCAAGAAACAACGGGCTGGTCAGAGCCAGAGAAATCCCATTCAATGAACAAATTCAAATTTTCTGGCTTTTATATATTTGTAGGGAGACGCAAAGGCTTAAAAGTAAACATGTATTCTGTCTAACTATCACATGTACTTTCATTCCACTCCTTTGCCTCTGGAGCCAGTATGGCTGTATAAAGGCACTCTATGATACTCCCCGACCTCCAATAATTCAGCGCTCTGTCTGAGCAGCCAATCGCCAATCCCAGGCGTTGTCACATGGCAATGTAAGAGCCAACCTTTTTATTCCTGTTCGGGTTTCAGTTTAGCTTAACAATTATTTAAAGCCCACTTTAGCAATATAACTATGAGGACTCGTTGGCAGTTGAAGTTGCGTCCCGTTTTGTTTTTGTCCTGTACATTCTTCAACTTGCGCAGATGGAAAGTTCACATAGCAGTAGGGGGTGTGTTGTGACATTAGCATCATTATGCCTCTGAATCGCATCAACCTGGTCCCCATAACATCTTACGAGTCCAGAAGATAGAAAATATTAAAAGCAAGCTCACCACCAGCATGGTAATCATGAGGTAAGAGAACATCCGGAACTGAGGGTTGTGGAAACACTGCCAGGAAGATTCATCTGAGGGAATGGTGGCTAATGTGGGCTGGAGGTCCGTCTGGTAAGTATCATCTATGGACCCCGTGTCTTGACCCATGTTGAGGGTATAGACGGAGGGTGGCCGCTGGAAGAAATTTAGCCTCTTGGCATCTCCTCTAGCACATAGTCCATTTCTCTCTGGCTCTAGCTTAAGCTGGCCTAGTATGGCAGTGTTGGTGGGTAAGTCTGTAACAGTCTGATCTAAATGGAGAGTTGTGGTTTGGCGACACAGCGGGCATTGCAGCCGGTTGTGAATATGAGTGGCAAAGCTCAGACGGGCCAAGCACTCCAAACAAAAGGAGTGGTGACATGTTAAGAGTTTGGGCATCCGGAAGGTGTTATTGTAAGGGTTCCAGCAGATGGGGCACTCGTAGTCTGGGTCCAACTTTGCAGCGTCTGCCATGGCAATGTCTTGTGTATCATTTGTTGTGCAAGCCAATACAACCATTAAAGTGGATTTTCCCCTTCTGTGGAAAAAAAAAAAATAAAATTTTTATCATGGAATATGTGAAAGTAACCAAAATACAAATACTTTTCTACTTCTGACTCCTGTAGGGCATTGTCTTTCACTGCCCAAGTCCTACAGATGCGGCATACATGTGTAACCCTGATTACCTAGCGCTGCAGTTGTGAGTTAAGAAGGGAGCAGTTTATTGAGATAAGTTTGGTAAATTCATCATTGTGTAGTATTAACATTCACCTGCCAACAGGAGCACTGAGGGATAATGGCAATTAACTCAGTGGAGATCGACTGTATTGCAGGTCCCATCATTTTTTAAAACTTCTCATTGACTCTCTCTTTTTGGAAAACTTCAATGTCAAAATCCCAACACTATACAACATGGAGTAGAGTTTCTTCACTTTATTTTTTGAGGATCACTTTAAGGATTACATGAACCTTAAAGTGGTTCTAAAGGCTCAAGGTTTTTTACCTTCACGTATTCCATACAGGAAGGTAAACAAAAAAAAAACAACCTGTGTGCAGTGGGCCCCCCAGTCCTTACCTGAGCCCCCTCCTCAACAGCCTCTGCTGTCTCAGGACTCTTTCTCCTCATAGGGTGAGACAGCCCATTGGCTCCCGCTGCTGTCAATAACAGTCAGTGAGCCAATGAGGAGAGGAGGGGGGGGAGCCGAGTTATGGCTGTATGTGTCTTATGGACGCATAGACCAGCAGCAAGGGCCTTTCCTGGCGGAGACCCGAAAAGAAGAGGATCAGGGCTGTTCTGTTTAAAACCACTGCACAGAGCAGATAGTATAGACATGTGATTATTGCTGGCAATAATATGCTAGATATACGACATGCTGGTTGTACCCAAGTTGATCAATGGATTGACTTGGCACAATCAGTCTACCCGTACATGGATTGGATCTCAGCTGGTCCTTGCTGACCCAGCCAAGAGTTGAACCATCTATGGCCTGCTTTACAGTCTGTACAATTTAATTTAGATTTACCAACTATATAGTGCAAAGCCTACCTGATTAAAATAGCTATTACAAATTACAATCACTATGTAAGCTTTTGTTGCAATGTTCACCTTCAATCTAGACATTTCCAACAGAACGTTTTTCCGCCACAGATTGTCCTCAGTATGATGGCCAGCATTGTTCAAGCTGCCTTGTCTGAAGTCAGGTCTCCCTGGATGCGCCCAGCCTGTGACTGGACAGTAATGGTATAAGTAGCACAGTGATGAGCTCATTCTCTGTCACTCTGCTCTTTCCTCCTGCCAGCATGCTCCTTGTCAGCACATTAACTCATTGGTTCCATGTGCTAATTCTTTCTCTCATACTTCATCTCTACTGTACAGTGACTGCAAAAGGCTGATATCAGGTCAAATTCAAGAACTTACACTTTTTGCTTTTAAAAAACAAATTTAAGAATGTAATAAAATGATACAGAGCTACCTCACTTTGTGTATTCAATATCTGCCTATAGTTCAGCTTAAGACCTCATGCACATAGGTATGCTCCAAATATGTGGGTTTTTTTTAAATTTCATACACTACATAGCCAAAAGGTATTGGGACATCCCTCCAAATCATTGAATTCAGGTGTTCCAATCACCTCCATGGCCACAGGTGTATAAAATCAAGCACCTAGGCATGCAGACTGTTTCTACAAACATTTGTGAAAGAATGGGTTGCTCTCAGGAGCTCAGTGAATTTAAGTGTGGTACTGTGATAGGTTGCCACCTGTGCAATAAGTCCATCTGTGAAATTTCCTTGCTACTAAATATTCCATGGTCAACTGTTAGTGGTATTATAACAAAGTGGAAGCAACTGGGAACCACAGCAACTCAGCCACGAAGTGGTAGGCCACGTAAAATGACAGAGCGGGGTCAGTGCATGCTGAGGTGTGCAGAAGTCACCAACTGTCTGCAGAGGCAATAGCTAAAGACCTCCAAACTTCATGTGGCCTTCAGATTAGCACAACAGTGCGTAGAGAACTTCATGGAATGGGTTTCCATGGCCGAGCAGCTGCATCCAAGCCTTACATCACCAAGTGCAATGCAAAGCGTCAGATGCAGTGGTGTAAAGCAAGCCGCCACTGGACTCTAGAGCAGTGGAGACGTGTTCTCTGGAGTGATGAATCATGCTTCTCTGTCTGGCAATCCAATGGACGTGTCTGGGTTTGGCTGTTGCCAGGAGAACAGTATTTGACTGCTGAGTGTAAAGTTTGGTGGAGGGGGATTATGGTGTGGGGTTGTTTCTCAGGGGTTGGACTTGGCCCCTTAGTTCCAGTGAAGGGAACTCTTAAGGCGACAGCATACCAAGACATTTTGGACAATTTCATGCTTCCAACTTTGTGGGAACAATTTGGGGATGGCCCCTTCCTGTTCCAACATGACTGCGCACCAGTGCACAAAGCAAGGTCCATAAAGACATGGATGAGCGAGTTTGCGTTTGAGGAACTTGACTGGCCTGTCCTCAACCCGAGAGAACACCTTTGGGATGAATTAGAGCGGAGACTGCGAGCCAGGCCTTCTCATCCAACATCAGTGCCTGACCTCACAAATGTGCTTCTGGAAGAATGGTCAAACATTCCCAAAGACACACTCCTAAACCTTGTGGACAGCCTTCCCAGAAGAGTTGAAGCTGTTATAGCTGCAAAGGGTGAGCCAACTCAATATTGAACCCTACGGACTAAGACTGGGATGCCATTAAAGTTCATGTGCGTGTAAAGGCAGGTGTCCCAATAGTTTTGGCAATATAGTGTATATTGGTAATATAGCTGGTGTATGGCATTTATAAGCATATGAGCATAAACTCATTCTATTGGCTAGAATATTAATTTATTTTATTAGACGTGTAAATTATACTCATAAAGGGCCTCTCCAAAGTCACCTTTGTGGCATTTTTTTTATCCCCCTGAACACTTCTCGCAAAATGCATGCAGGTGCACGTCCACAGAAAGTAACATTCGATGTTTATGGCCAGCTAATGGGTGAATAAATCCTGTTGCAAAGTAACTAAGAGGCAACAAAGAACCTGCAAAAATCAAGGCAGAAATACAGAGACTGTCATTGTCTCTGTTTTTAAGGGCACTGTGAAGGTATAAAATGTATTGGCTCGGCAAAGAAAGGATTAAAGGTGTAAGCTCCTAGGCCTTCACCCGCGTTGGCATGGGAAAATTGTGTGGACAATGAAGTCTCAAACTCCCAAGCTGTGGGTTGCTTCAAAAAGTGCCAAAGGGAATATAATGGCTTAGATGCATACACTATTAAAGAGAATATCGAAATGCTCTGCATTTTGTGCTCTGTTTTGTGGATGGTCTTTAGAAACAACGCCCAGGGTTCCTAAAGTTTTAGCTGTTGTAAAACACACAAACTGTGTCCACAGAACTTTGCCCTCTTCCACTTCCTCCTCCCATTCTGCAGCCATCTGCTCAGGAAGTGCCCTGCCATGTTATCTCCTCCACATTATCTACAGCTTTTCTTTTGATTCAGCATTTATCATTCATAAAAACTGAAGTCAGAGGGATCTGCAGTTGCCATTTCAAATTTAAAGTGAACCTTCCATTAGATGTACCGGGCATTTTTGTACTCTCCGCCCAATGTAAGGCTCATGTACACTGCAGCTGATAAACTCACGTTTAGGAGCTGTTCAGCGTTTTTTTTTTTCAGCAGCCCCAGAACTCACCGTTTTCCTGTTTCCATGTACAAATCATCGTTTACAGTCGTTTTACAGGCATTTGAGTTTAGTCTTTTTTTTTTTTTTTTTTTTACGCAGAAAACTTGCGTTCAGCAATCGATTTTATCAGCGTTTCAAACTCAAATCGCATTTATAAGCGTTTGCATGTGAAATTTTTTTTAACTCTTTCAGTTCCCAATGCTGTCCAGAGCCTTTTTTCATCATGAAAAATACATGCAAAGCGTTTTCAAGGTACTCAGATGGACACAACACTGAACACAGGATGTTCATACCAAACTTGTCACACATTGTAATGACCAATTCACACCTCAGACCTCTCCCACCCTTGGAAACAAAAGATATGTTCCTAGATTGTAAGCTCGAAAGAGCAGGGCCCTTGATCCCCTCATGTTTTGCATTGTATTGGTATTGTTCTGTCACATGTTCTGTCTCCCTTTGTAATGTACAGCGCTGAGCGAACTATTGGCACTTTATAAATACTGTATAATAATAATAATAATAATAATATGTTAATGACTATTCACACCTCAAATTCCTCATGAAGACCCCCTGCCAGGTGGACTTAGTGACTCACTCCAGGAGACACCTTTCCCACCCTTGGAAACAAAAGAAATGTTAACGAGCAACTCACACCTAAGCTAATCTCAACACATACTTCTGTCTCTGCTTCTACTCTCTGTATTTCTCTGAAACATTCTGAAATAGTTAATAATTTACCACTTTTCAGTGCATTCTGGGCATTTAGGAGGTTCTCCTGTGCTTATCTTTAAAAAAAAGCTTCTAAACGCGTTATGCAAACGCGGCTAAACAGACGTTTTTAACCTACATTTTCCAGCAGTCAGTTTCCATCGTTCAGAAGTGTCCTGTGTACATGGGGTCTAAGGCTCCGTTCACACCAATGCGTTTTTTTTTTAGTGCTTTTTTGCAGAAACGCACTACAGTCCATTTAACATGCTTTCCTATTGTAGTGGATTGCGATAGACAGTCCACGTTTTATTAGATGATCAGTAAAATGACAATTTTATAGTCTTGCTACTTTCTGCTTCTCTCTCTCTCTAAATTCCTTATTCTCTTAAGTAAACAATCAGATATAGGTTGACAGAACAATGATGATAATTAAGATGGCGCCTTCATCCGGAGTCTCACCCTAGGTGACTCATTAGAAGAAAAGTATCTTTTAACGTAAACAACCCCCATAAAAGGGAATGAGACGTTTTGGGGACAATGATTGGAAGATATCAACACGGATGAAAGAACACACAGAAACCTAGTGGACTTTTCACTCAATGTATATGCTTTGCCTGCATCATGAGACCTATAAATGTTACTGTTAGTTCCTCAATAAAACAGAATTTTAGGAAGTTGGCGAACTGCATTTATGTGCTAGTGTCTTACTTCTACGTGCACGTATTCTCACATTAATTAGGCTCACTGGTAGATCACAACAGCTGTAGTCGGTAAGTGACCGCATCCAAAACACTATGGAACATGTTCACATCTATGCTTTTTTGAGCTGCTGTGGAAATGGTCAGGGACTTTTTAAAAAGCAAAAAGCAGCATTTTTACTACAATAGAGTAAAATGGAGAATATGGCGAAATGCATAGTGCTGCGTTTTGCGTTATTATTCTGCCCAACTAAAAAAAAAAATTCCGCTTTGGAAAAAAAAAAAAAAAAGTTGAGCAAAATGTGGCAAAAACACATGAAGAAAAAAAAACGCAAAACAAACTGCAAAAAGCACTGCAAAACAGACAAAATACAAACTGCATAGATGGGAACGGAGCCTTCTACCCAGTCACATCAAGCCCGACTTTGAAATCGTGTGACTTACAGTGAAGTCGCATGATTTCAAAGTCGGGGGACCTGCCGATTTCAGGTGCGATTTGTAAGACATCTGACACGGATGTCTTTGCAAATCATACCAAAAGTAGTGCATGTACTACTTTAGAAATCGGTTTGGCTCCGGCTTGACCGCTCTAATTGCGGACAATAGGGTGTGCCTTGGCATATGATTTGTAAGTCGCATGGCATGCAAGTCGCACCCGATGTGACCGGGGTGTTAGTGTCGTTTCACTGAAAAGTGATGTTTTAGGTCCATTTGGAGCTTGGTGGGCCAGATCAGCTCCAGGCTTCTTTTGTGGGTTGGCTACTCCAACAGTGATCTCTTCCTGCCACAATTCCCACCACTCTTCCTGTCCATCTGGGAGTTTTGGGTGTTCCTGACCACCTCTGTATTCCAGCTCCTCCTGTCACATCCTCCATAATAGAAAATAAACATTCTGCAGGGAAAGTGGGGGGCCCCTTATAATAACCACAGCAGGTGTGCAGACCACATCACAGAGATCTCAGCAACAGAATTCCGAAGAGATACATTAAACTTTCAGGTTTACCTCTCCCATAAAATGGATAGCACTCGTTCTTGAGTGGACTAACCCTTTAGGGGCTCGTTCATACATGCTGAACCCTTGCCACCCCTTTGAAAAGCGAGCCAAGGTAGATTACATTTCAGAAGCATTTGACAGGTGGTGAGGAGGCAGCATGTCCCTTCTTTGCCATCTGTTTTTAACCCATTAATGCTACACCACCAGTTACAGCATACTCCATATACTTAAATCAGTAACATTCGGAAGTGATATCACCCACTGAATGCAACATGCAGTTTTTTTTTTTGGCATGGATGCAAAGAAAAGAATCAAAGCCTTGGCATCTGTACAGTTCTAAGCAGCTGCATTCCCTTCTTTAAGTGGCCAAATAGGGGGCAGCAGTAAAATCATGGTTTGACCATCTTCTTTTACCACCCCGTTTGCTGATGTGAACAAACCCTTAAGACACAGAAATGTTTGCTCACTCACCTGTCCGGCAGCGTGGAGTTCTCAGGAGAGGCAGCTCAGAGATGGCCTTTGTCTGACTAGAGACCTCTTCCAGACTGCTTGGTTCCTCTTCAAGGCAGTCACTATGTGCCTAGCAGTTAATTGTCAATCCGGATCTGAGCCCCAGGCACCAGGATGTACCTGCAAATAGCAGTGATAGAAGTATGAGATGGGAATAAATGTGTCCCCTTCCCTGGGCTTCTATGTTTTACTTCATAATACAAGAAGGATTGCTGAGACTTTTCAGGTACTACCAAAGATATAGAGACATATATCATCTTGATAAAAACTTTATTTTTATGTATTTAATAATGACACATAAAAAATGGAATGCACAGAGCTATAGGATTCCACAAACCATAGAAGAGAATGATCTTTGTACTTCAGTATCGGCTGATGCTGTATAGATCATTCTGCCTTAGAATACACTGCTCAAAAATATTAAAGGAAC